TCTTTTTTAGAAGAGTCCGACATATTTACACTCTAGAAACAAAAAATCCAAGAATCTCCTGTTCTGCAGATACTTCGATTTTCACTTTTATTTTGAGTACCACACTTGAATCATATTACGTCTATTTTTTCGGTTTCCAATGCTTTATTTAAATACTACGAAATATTAATACCCTTCATTGCTTTAAGTTCTTCGAATTTGCTTTCACTAGGCTAATTTGAGTGAAAGTGAACTGTAATAGTTTCAACAAATAAACTCAAGTAGTCTGAGAAAGATGAACAGCAGACCTACCTTCTGAATAATTAGAATAATTAAAAAATATATATACACTGATCTCATTTAAGTTTATTTTCCACTATTAAACACTCTCTTTCTCATTATGATTAATTTTTATTTTAAACAGAAATATTTCCATCTTTTATAGATAGATGGCGATGGCGAAAGATAAAAATGGCAACAGCCAGTTGTAAAAGCTTGGAAGATTCAGAAACTGCTAGAGAAAGCGAGGAAGAAACTGAAATTCCAAAAGATTTTGAGCCAGGGGCTTCAAGCGAATCAATACTGATTTCAATAGATTTGTACGAAGAAGTTGAAAATTCACCTGGTTCAGTATATGAAGATGTTAGTTATAGGAGAAGGAAAAGTACAATTTGTGAGCTTGAACGTTCGGCAGGAAAGAGAGTTCTTGCTGAAGAACAAGTTGAAACATCTAAGTCGTTTGATGACAAGAGTCAAGATGGTCAGTTGAAAGCGGAAATTGGCCACGATGAATCAATAAGGATAAAGAACAGTCCAAATGTGAGTAGACGTGTTATTTTAATAAAGTACTTGTACTTTAGTGGTACTGTTGCAGTATTGCCACTATTGGACAATTTGGCCAACTCTCTCTGCTACTGGAATGTATGATGTATGACTGCGATAGTTGACTTGAAAGTGCGATTTCAGTTTTTATCTGGTCTTACAGATTTCACATGAAACAAAGTACAGATATAAATAACGATGCATTTTTCACAGGAACTACTTGTATTCTAAAACATGTAACAACAAATTTTTTCTGTTTTTTAGTGGTTGAAAAAGCTCACAATTGAAATAAATTGGTCAGTATAATACGTTTAAAGTGCAATGAACAAATGACGTGTACATATATGTCAAATTAAAAGAAACCACAAAGGCATATAAGTATAGGTACTTGTAGAATGTGAATTGCAAATTGTAATGTGTTATTCAGATGTTGGGTATGATATATAAAAAAAAATTTGGAGTCTCACTATGTTGTTATGGTCTTTGTGCCCATGTCTGGTCATGTTTTGTCTAATGACTGGGCATCTTGACAGTAGCCTCACAGCATGGTTTCCATTACAAAAGGTTCCACTGTAAGGCCATCACACCATCCTTCCTTGAATGCCTTCCATAATATATATAGTGTACAAGGATGATTGTTTACTAGTGCTTGTTTAAACATACTGATTGCACATAAATTCATAAATGCTGCATCCTGCAACTTCACTGATATGTCTTTGTATGGAATAGCATGAATATCAGTTTCATTCTCCAGTTGCTTGAGATATGCAACAGTTGAATAGATATGACATAGAAGCAACTTGTGCATACATGACTTGCCATTTTTCCAAATGGAGATTCTTGTTTATTTTGCACACTGTTGTCTGAAATACATGGATTACTTTTGCCACTGACCTTTGTGTTTGTGGATTCTCACATATTACAAGATGCCACTTTGCTTACCATGGCTGGGTTATGAGTTCTTGCAAGTCACTTTCTGAATGGTCCTAGTATCCCAAGTTGATCCATGTTCCTTTATTTTCCAATGCCATTAAGTACAAGGGATACCTCCATCTTGGAAATCCCAAATCTCCAATCCAAACACATCTTTATGATTGGGATATTATGTCAGAAAAGCCTGTTACATACCTTTCCTAAGAACGATCAGTGTTTGGTGGTATCACACTACCTGTGAAATGTACAAATGTAGTTCTGATGCATGCTCTTCCACTACAATTTTATATCCATTTGGGTTTTCATGTGACTTGTTGCTTTGTATGTTTAGAGTGATTTTAATATAATGTACTTAACCATTTGTAAAAGCAGATTGAACATGATAACATAAATGTGAACTTTAACATGTTATAAAAGCACATTGAATATAATAACAGAATAGATTTGATAAAATCAATGTTACCAATGCACACAAAAAACCCTTCTTCACAGCTGCAATCTCTGTGAAAACTATCTAATTGTCCTACATCTGTTATGGCTAGATACGAAGGTACAAATTGTTAGAATAAGTTATTATCAGTTTAATGAAAAACACAAATAAGTTGTAAATAGGACAAATGTACAGTTTTAATGAACTAAAGAATCCTGTCCCATTAGGTTATAATACATCTTTAAGTTGAAAATGTGAATATATATATATATATATTTGAGAAATGAGAACAATTACTGTGTTACACAATTATGTTTCATTGTCTGTAGCAGCCAGTGAATGTGTTGTATTTGTAGCACTTCATATAAGCTGCTTTTGACATAATGCATATTTTATACCTAAACTGCAATGCTGAAAATGAAAACTTGTATATTTTGGGGTTTCAATGGGTTTTTTTTTTTCATATTTCAATACCTGATATTTTTGAGCTGTTTTGCTGTGTTTACTAGGAACTTGCCCTTGTTATTTCTCTATCAATGTCCTATTAAGAACCACTTGAGGAAATTAAACTCTAAATTCAATACAGTTAGTGCTTTATTGATGTTAATCAATAAGATTAGACTGGTATACTTTTCAGTTTAACAGTTATCGTAAAGTACAAGTAATTTCAAATGTATAATCTCTGTATAACTCATTTGTGAATTTTATTTACCTCACTAAAGCTTGTAAATTCAGTGAAGAAAAGAAGACTCCATGAATGATGTAAAGGCCTATCTATTATTTGATTCACTTCTCCCTCTGCTGTAAAATGTAGCTTTGCCAAATCATTTTTTTGGGACTTGGGAGAGCAAACCAAAGGTGTATAGTAGGGCTCCATATAGTGATTGAATGCAAACAGTTTGTAGAATTTGATGTAAAGGAATTTTTTTAAAGAATGTATGTACATGTTTATGATTTTTGTTTTTGATATATATCAGTAAATGTTCCTACTATTTTTAGTAAAATTCTAGTTGATTAATAAAGGGCTGTACTGTGGATAGTGCGAGTGGTGCATTCCTATAGGGTACCGACTTGAAGGGGTGCTCTGAATTTACATGTTGCCCAAGGTACCATCAAACATCGGTATGGCACTGGCACATGGTGGCCACAGAAACCAAATTATCATTTTTTCCAACTAGTGAAATTTTTTGTTACATATAAAAACATACATGTTGTATAAATACGGCCATGTAACATTTTGATCTCATTACTTAAGTCATCCTCATGCATGAAAACTAGGATAAATAAAAAATACAAGATTGAAAAAATGTTCTAATCATGTGAGGCAAGGACAAGAATAAATCTAATCAACAATATTATTGAATACTTAGAAACAGTATCAACAGAGGAGAGGAAATTAATTAACTTTTTTTTTAGTAAACATTCTGTTTGAAAATTGTTAATTAAATCATTTTATCAAAAAACTTGCTCTAAGACAAGTGTATAAGAAGATTGCATTATATCTGAAACAGAGAAGATTCTTGTTATGTATATATTTTCATTTATTAAAAGTTTACCATTATAAAGCCTGATGAATCTCGATTCAGTTATTGTGTGTACATTTTCATGTCTGTGATTTGGGATAATAAAATTGAGTGGATCTGAAAAAGTGTTACCTAACTGAAGCTATACTACCAGGTGCTCATGGATGCAGACAGAAAATTGTTGCTTAGGTTATCCAATATAAGTGGCCTTGCAGTTACCACATGTGGATTTTTGGAAAATCCAAGAGAGAGGTTAAATAAGTAAACAATCCATTCTTTTGAAAAGATGTTTTGATTGAAATACAGTTTGAAAATTATATTAAGTTTTACCTCTTGGAAGAATCTTCTTATTGAAGACGTAACTTGTTTAGAAAGTATGGTTATAAGCTGTATTTTCAATGTTATGACTTAGTTATTTGCTTGAGGGAGCTGCTAATTAGGATGATGACATTTATCTAAAAAAGTTCATAAAAATCCTAGAATAAGTAGAAAGCTCATGATTATGTAAAAATCTATATCTTCAAGCAGTATCTAGAGATAGGACTATGATGTTCATAAGTATGAGTACCAAGTTTGTTCAATGAAGTATTTCTTGAGAAGTTAGTAAAGCATTCAATGAATAATTCAGATCAGTGTTAGTTGTGGCATATATTCAGTTACTAGATCAATTAGCCAACTTACAAATTAGTTTATTTGTAAGTAAATTAAGCTAGGTTGATCTTGTATCCTACAGGAATTAAACTATCAAACTGGATGAGCTGTCCTATGAAAGTTTTGTTTCAATAAAGTGAAGTTGAAAAACTTTGATCATCTCAAGTAATTAGTACATCTAGAAAAGGTAAAGTATTCCTTTCTTGGATTTTTATAGGTAAACTTTATTCATGAATGTTATGAGTTTAAGTTTGTTGTTGCTCTTGATTTATGCAGTTAGAACATTATTTTGATTTTATATTTTCTCTCTCTCTAGCTTAATATTCACTATTTTCTTATGCCTAAGGATGACCTAAGTAAAGAGATCAAAATGTTGCATGGCCGTATTTAAATACGTGTCTGTATTTATGTATAGTAAAACATTTTCATAAAGATGGAAATCATGAGGTATGATACTTTTTGTAATTACCAACTTATCAATTTTGAAAATGAAACCATTCTGTTTTAAGATAGTAAGACAGAATTCCATTGTGTCTTTGAACAAAATTAATACTTTTGATTACAATTAATCCAATGTTACTTTTATGGGTGTCATTTATTGTTAATTGAAGTTGTATCAAACTATGTACGGAATGTTACTATAATTATTATTTATTACAAGTTACCTAAGTAATGCTTGTTTTACCTTTCCATTCTTAGATATTATTCTCAGTTTGAATTATTTTCTATTCTAAAATACCAAGTTTCATATTTATTTCTGTGAACATCTTTCATGAAAATTATTAATGGATTAGTTAGATTCTGAGGTAGTTACTTGTCCATATTTTATAGATAGGTCCTCACACTTTAATTAATGAACAAAGAAAATCTTTGAAACTAATGGGCATTTGCTTCTGAAGTATTACTTTTTGTGTGGTGTTTATCCCAATCCATTTAAAGTACGAAGTTTCATCACATATAAGTATAAATTACACAAGTTTCATTATCTATACTAAAACTATTGCTAAAGTGTTTGATTCATTTGATAAAAATACCTTTTTTATTTAATCATATGTTTTTAACCTTCAATCCAACTTCTCTAGTTTCAACCTGACCTCACTTTGGCACTAGCTCCATGTTATTTAGCTTGTTCCACAGATTTATTATGCTTGGCCTGTTTAGCAAAGTGTAAGGCAATAGGTAAAGTTGTGGAAGAGTAAATCATTCTTAAGCCTTTTTCATTCATTTTTTTTACCATAACTCATAAAGGAGTTAATACTATTAAATAATTAATTCCTTATTGGAAAGGGTTCACAAGAGGACTACTACAAGATGATTCTAGGGATAGAATGCTTATCTTATAGGGAAAGGTTAGGATGTTGTATTTTCTATTTATTTTGATATTTTCCTGTGAGATAAAGGGTGGGTGTGAAGGAGCTGGATGATTAACTCAATATAATTGATTAAATTTATTAATTGAA